CGCCGCGTTTTTAACATATTAAAAAAGTCTCGAGAGAAAATTTTATTTAAAGAAACATGTAAATAATTAAAATTTAACTAACAAACACACAAAAAAAACTAATAATGAACTTGATGCTCATGTATTAATTTTAAGTGGTTATCAAAAATCTAAACAGGACAGATGGCTAAAATTTGTAAGAAAAAAAAAACTTTAAAAAGCTAGCAACCTGCCTTGCTCAAGGGCTATTCATAACGGACATCATGCTAATAAGGTAGGGGGGAGGGGATCAAGAAAAATAAAAAAATTAGAGAAGGACGTCTTGTTAGAGAGTTTACTTTATAAAGAGCCTTAAAACATTGGATGTTTTGGTGCTGAGCTCGAAAAAAGAGGCTGCTATCTTAGCAGAAATGTTTGATATACTCGGTCGATGTCAAAATGGAGCAAGTTGTTTGAAGGAGAGAGACACATTGTTTCAATCAAGTTGATCCGAGCCCAAAACAATCTTCATTCAAGTCACGTGATTGATTTTTTTTGTACAGAAACCATAAAAAATGTGAAAGATGTTTGCTCTTGGTTAGGCCCCAAAGATGTGTGCTTTTTTTTATTATTATTATTATTTAGGTGCCCAAAGTCTTGTCACAGAGCACCGCGGATGTGCAATAAACCAGGAAGTTCACGCTTCCTTCCTTACCGTGACGCAAAAATATGTACAGAGCTTGTTTTGAACCTGGATCTCCTGCTTTTAAAGCAAGCGCTGTAACCACTACGCCACGGCCGCACACAGGGTAAGGATTAGAGTTAGTGTGCTTTTTAAATCAAGACAATAAAGCTCGGATTCCTTTTAAAATAACAGCTGCTAACAAACAAGCCTTTATATTTATGCATATGAAATATCAAGTTTCTCTTCCTGTTCATGATTGGGTCATTGCCGCAAAGCACAAGCTCATCCCACATCTCTACGCAGGCATTGAAATCAAACCATATGGGCCTGAAAAATATGGCGCAGTTTCTATTTTGATCCTAATTATATTGTTGTTCGATCTGACAAAGCATTCATCATCAACAGCATATGTTCACAGATTGGAAAAATTAGAGTTTGATTCCATTACAAAAGACCGTTTGACCAAGATGGTCAAGCCAGTAGTTGTCTTCAGTGTTGATTTAGCTGATTTTATGCTTCTTCGTGATTATTATGGAATTCCTCTAGAATCTCAAGGAATTTAAATTCATTTTTATTATCAACTTTTTATCAAAATACAATATATATAACAAGATTTAAGGAATTAATTATCTCCATTACGACTTATATTTAAGGTAAGACAGTGGATCTTCTTTAGGAGAAAAAAAAGTTTGAAAAAATACTCTGGAAAGATCTGTGCCTTGATCTTTTTAGGTCTGATAATTAATCAGTTTCCAACAGTGGTAGAGTATATGGATATAAAAGTTAAGACGAAACTCAATGCTTGTCATCTCCTATCGATTGATAGGAGTAGGGGAAGTGGGGGCATGATCGCCCCCGTAACGCTTAGATTGGTGTTATATGAAATAGAAACGAAATGTGTTTTTTCAACAGTTTATCTTAATAACCACATTATAAGCTATAAATTGTTGCATATAGGAAAAACTATAATCGTTTTTGAAAATCTTTTAACACGAAAAGTACATTTAGTGAAAAAAAACGGTTTTTCTCCAATTGAGAAGCAAAACTGTACTCTCACAAATATCGTTGGGGCTAGACCTTTCATCTTACATTTTCTCTTCGATTTTCACAGCTCAGATTATTTGATAATTATTTTGCATGTTTGCATACTGTGCAGGTATTCTTTGTATTTACATTTTGAGTTCTGCTCCAGAAGAGATTTCTGCCCCAGAAGAGAGTTTTTAGAAAGAATTCAGTTTCATAGCTTGTTTATTAGATTATTTTGATATCAAAAATAGTTTTCACTTGATGAAATAACGCTGATAAGATATATCTTTAGCACTAAAATAAAATATTGCTCAACCCTCGAAAGAAAGGTCTGGAAAAATATGATGTAAAATAATATTTTTATCAAAATAAACATTGTTATGCACAACTTCTCATCTGCCAGTCAGAAGATGGCTTGAAAGCTGTAGCCATTTCAGACGTCACCAGAAAAAAATGTTTTTCTTATGTTTTTTTTCTGATCGTTTCCAATATTTAGAGCACCATTCATCAATCATTAAAATTATACAAACTTCCTCCTTACAATCTGTTTGTTCCTTCTATGCAATCAAGTTTACCTCAGAGAACCTGTAGCATTGCAACTTTTACTTTTCGTCAAGGTCATGTTAATAAAGCATGTCAGAATTAATTATGCCAATTTTATTAACTAAATAACTATTATCTTTTTGAAAGTTAGATCTGTTAGCAAAGAACAGGTAAGAAGTGCAAAAGAGAGTTAATGGCCGTAATTGCGGTAGAGGAGAACGCGGTCTTTGCTGAATGGTTCGATGAGAACGAAATCGAAACAGAGGGCTTCAATACTCTAAATATGGTAACTATTTTAGACAAATTGAACTGCCCTTTTCAAATCATATTATTTAACAATTATTTAAAAAATCCTTGGATGGACAAAGATTGAGGCAAGTTCCCATGACACACATTGATTAAATTTAATATATAGAATATAAGTAATGTAATTTTTATTTCCGGGGACGCCTACAAAAACGAACCACTGAAACACACATGGAATTACCCAATAAGCTACTAAATGATATTTAAATATACAAACACAGAAAAATGTAGTTCAATTGAAAATTTTCAATAAAAATGCCTGAATTAAGAACAAATTTAGGTTTGAAAAATAAAGGGAGGGGGTCCCAATTTTATGACATCTTTTTTAAGGGGGTATAGGAAAAAATGATAACGAGAGAAAAAAGAGGGGGGAAGAGAGGGTCAAAAATTGTTTAAATAAAGGTGACGTCATTTATGGACATTCCCTCACTCAAGTTATAGCATGAAACTATTTGGGGAAAAAAATATATTTGAAAAATGTCAATTTAAAAAACATCTGACCATGGTTTGTTTTAAATATGTTACCGACAAAAACTATCTGTCTACTCTTTTAATCTTTTTTTATTGTAAACTATTTTTATTGAATTAATTTAGATTAATGTTACAAACCAATATACTCTAAATAAAAATCTATAAGTTACAAAATCGACGGAAAGTCAATTACACAACTTGATAATCAAACTCTTTATAGCCTAAATGGTTTTCATTGAGTGATTTGAACAATATATGAGGTCTAAAAAGTGTCTTGCAATGCCTTTGAAACCTCTACAAAGTTTTTAGAAGTGTTTTTGTATTTGAATAGTTTAAATTAAATGAACATTAAGGTGCACAAACGCGTGCCGCAGCAGAATAATTTAAAGGCAGACACTTATTATAGATTAGTTTAGGTTAGTTTATTTTAGTGATCAATAACTTAAAAATATTTACAACAATCCGCAATAAATTCATGACTTTTGAAAAATTATAAATAGTTGCTATTTTTAAATTACCAAAGAAGATATGCTGCATCAGGCACTTCTATACTAACAGTCTTAAGATACTCGTGCACATCTGCGACACAAGTACCATATTTTTAGAACATAATAGAATACTGGAAGCATATGTAAAGAGAGTTTATTTCCAGTTATCTTTAAAAATTCTCTTTTAACTGATTTAAATGTTCATCTAATTGATTTTTGAACATGTTTACTGAAGTTGCGTCAATTACTATTTGCGGAAGGGTATTCCACTGCAAAACAACACGGTTCGTAAAAAATTTTTCTCTTGGCATGCAATTGAGTACTCTTTGTTGTGCAAGACTTTGATTATGGCCACGGATAATATTCTATAAGACAAGGATAATATACTAAAAGACAATTGAATGGTACGTGAAAGTTTATTTCATCGATTTCACGCAGCAACTTGAACATCAGTATTAAATCACTTCTTATCCTTTATTCTTGAAATGTCGTAATACCTAACATGGTTCTTTGCTGCTTGGTGGTGCAATGCTTAATCGCAGAAATAGTTTTTGTAGCACGGTTTTGACCTTTTTCTGGCTCTTCTATGTCTGCCCGTTAGTACGGTAACCACGCTTGAACAGCGAACTCTAGGTGAGGACAAACATACATGGTATGCAGTTGTTTTTCCAGTGAAAAACTAAGGTTGCGAAAAATTTTTTTCAGCCTTCCTAAGGACCGATTAACATTTACCGCAGCTGCTGAAATTTCAACGTTAAACCTAAGATCATCTGAGATAAGAACTCCAAGATCTCTCTCTAAACGAGTAGCTTCGATTGCAAGTGCCTGGCCGTTCGGTCCAGGCATGAAATAATCTCGTTTTGATACTTCCCTCGGTCAGAATGCATTGCTTTACACTTTTCAGTTTTAGATGTCATTAGCCAGCAATAAGACCATTCAATGGCTTTGTATAAGTCTGTTTGCAGACGCTCCACGTTCCGGTCATATTTTACGACGCAAATAACTTTGCTGTCATCAGCGTAGAGCTTGATCTAATGTTCCAATTTGTCTGGAAGATCATTGATGTACAGAACAAACAATAATGAACCCAAGACCGAACCTTGCCGCTAATAACGTGTTTCCAAACTGATGTATAATCTCCAATTACGACTCTCTGCTGCCTTCCTGAAAGCCATGGTTTAATCCATGCATGAAGCTCCTCTTTAATTCGGTAGTTTTGAATTTTCCTGAGAAGTTTATTGTGTAAGACTCTGTTGATGTCTTTTTCCAATACATTTTAATAAAAGCTATGTATTATAAGCTATATATTATAGCACAGCTTCTATTAAAAGATCAAGTGTTTCCAGAAGGTTTATCAAGCACGACTTTATGTAAACAAAACCGTGTTGGTTTTTTGATTTAAGACCGTTTATAATACAATGATTTAAAAAAACTCTTACTGTTGATTCAGTTAAGACATTATAACATAAAGTATTTGTAATATTTCAAAAACTCGTATTTTAATGAAGTTTATTTTATTTATTTATTTCATCATTAAAAAAGAATACAGTGCCGTATTATATAAATAAAATCTACATGACCGGGCCTAAAAGAAGACAATATTTGCCTTATTGCTACGCCCCATTTCATCAGTAATCGTGAACAACTATCAAAAAGTAAACATACAATTACTTTGTACCAATTAAAAATTAGATAGAAGTAATTTATGATTACAAAAATTTACAAGTAATTTAAGATTAGTTAGATCTATAATCAAAAGAAATAAAAATAAAATCAAAATAATTAAATCTAAAAACTAAAGATAAGTTAATAGGATAACTTAAAAACAAGAGATAATAGATAAATAAAGAAGTTAATAGAATAACTTAGAGAAAATTTAGAGACAAGTTTATAAGGTAGTTGTATAAAAACAGAAAAAAAGGTTTTGATAGAGTTTGATAAACGTTTATAGTTCAATTCATTTCAAAACAAAAATAAAGTTTAAAAAAAAGGATCATTAATGAAGTTAAAAAATCAGTTGAAATATTATGCATAAGTTTATGAAGTTTTGGACAGGAGCCCATTGTAGATCATTTAACTAGCAGCCATGATGAGTTGAGGAAAAAAAATTTAATCTTCCATTAGAAGTATTAAGTAAACTTCTATCAACATTTAAAGAACAAAGTAAAACCAGAATACACTTGAAGCCATTCCATGCTTTATCTGAGAGACATAATCAGTTTTAATACAAGTCATCGATAGGTGGAAGCCAATGAGATTAAATAGGCACCTGCAATAAAAATAAGCAAAGATGCAACTAAAATAAAGATATCAAACAGGCTGTCTGAAAGTATTTAATGAGAACAGTAAAAAATAACAAGGCTTACAAATAGGCAATATATTATTCACCGAGGTCCTTTTTTTCTGAAAAAAGGACCTCGGTGAATAATATATTGCCTATTTGTAAGCTTTGTTATTTTTTACTTACTTGAACTGCTATCTTACTAAATATTTTATAATTATTAGTGATACAACAGTTAAAATATATACGGTGTCTGTAAAATCAAACTTCTAGAAAACTAGTACATAGACCAGTAGTGTAGCGGAAAAATAGTCTCTCGAAAAATGTTTGACAAATATTGTATATGAAATCAAAACAGTTATTCTTACATACAAGTTTAATTTAATGAAGTAAAAACCAGTTTATTACACTATGTAAGACTAGTAATTAGAAAATCTAATGAAAGTTTTTCTCTTATTTTCAATATGTCAATAATACCGTTTAAATTTGATTGAGTTGCTATTTCTTCTTCAATAGCTATTTGGTTTAAAAAAAACTGTTAGCGTAGCAACAAAAATTAGGCCTTCTCGCAAAGCTTTAATCCGGTTCCTTAAATTATTTCGCTGGCACTTCTATTACCCGCCCCCCCCCAATTTTCTTGAGAAAAATTATACATAAAAACAAAAATCTTATTTTTATATTCAATCTTGATTCAGTTAAATATAAACTAGTATGTTACACTATGCAAGTCTAGTAAGTAAGTAGTCTAATGGAATTTTTTTCTATTCTTTATAGCTGTAAAATGGTCTATAACACCCTTTAAATTTAATTTAGTTGCTACTTCTGCTTCAGTAGCTATTAGGTATAGTGCAGACAAAATGATTTGCGCAATTGATGCCCTTAAATGTGTTTTAATGTGCTTAAGGATTTTTTTGCGGTTGCTGCAATAATAAGTAATGCCAAATACTCATAAGCGTTGGTATTATATTTTTAAATAAGCAACTTATGTCATAATATGTTATTGTGAACACGGATAAAATGCGGAAATTTTCAATGAGTAAAATGCCGGAAAAAAGTGCAGCAAATTTATCTTAACCCTAAGCTTATCGCTGTCCCAACCAAAACACTCAGTCAATAATTGTAGATTCAATATTCTTAGTCTTTCGCAGTATTAAAAATGTCTCATGCTAGAAGCTTATTTTGTTGCTTTGCGTTGAATAGATTCAACCAAGGTTTAATTAGTTTTTAAATAAGAAGCCCAAAAAGGCACTGTATATTTATGGTGTTGTCTTATAAACACTTTATATTACTTGAGAGCCGTATTTTCATCAATGAAAGTGATGTTTTTTTGCATACCAAGATTTTATAAGGATTTCGAGATAACTGTTCAAAGATGTGTGCTCTACTTGGCGTTACATGAAATAACGACACCTAAACTACGCATTTTAGTAAACTTTTTTAGGGATGGATTTATTGCACCTTTTTATTTTGATTCCCTTTTATTCCAAAATATTTTAATTCTAACATAGTAGTCTGTTTTGAGGTAGGGAATTAACGCTTTGCCTAAATCAAGATTACATTAATAAACAGGTGATATGTTATAGAAAATAAAGTCCCGCATGATTTAAGAAATGTGACGAAAGTCTTGTTGATTGCTGAGAGCATTTTATTATTGTTAATGCGCATAAAGACTTTGTTCTTATCAAGTATTTTGACTATTTTTCAGGCAACAGAGTTTAGTGAAATAGGTCAATAGTTTACAGCAAGTAATTTATTGTCCGTTTTTTTATAGACCAACCTAAAATTTGCTAATTTCTAGAGAGTGAGTAGTATACCAGAATTGAAGTATTTATGAAAAATATTTGTAAATGGAAAAAATATTTAGAGGGGTTTAGATAGGTAAGTTAATAATGTCTGAAATAGAAAACCCAAGTTGTCATTAAGTTCATTCAGGTTAGTATTACTTTTTTAATGATGGAAATTATTCAGAGGAATCTTAAATATTTCACCTTTTACGGAACAATTAACCTTTTCGTCCCGCTCGATAATTAAGGTTTGACCAATCAGCGCTCAATTTTTAGCTAAAGTTGTAGGTATATTAAAAATAAAATTTTGTTATGTTATCGTAATATCTGAACCTCGAAGCAAAGTTTTTCTAAAAGAAAAATGAGTATACTTACATAACTTATATAGATTGACACAAAATTGATTGATCATAAAATTTAAACAGTGTTGGTGTAAAAAACTTTTTTTTTAAAGATATATTTTACAATAGCACTTTTTTCAATAAAGAGACACTTTTTGAGAAAAAAAACAGGCGGAAACATATATGTTGGTAATAAAATTACACTTTTTTACATTCCATAGGCATTTTTAACTAAAATAAATAAAACATTAATTAAAAACAGTAATTGGCTAGAAAGTTCGCAGATGTTATCGCAATAGTTGGGGGTTATTTTGTACCTACAAATCAAAGTAATTTGTTTCCACCCAACGGTAAAACCGGGCGAGAATGCTATCAAGGCTTCATAAAAAGATAGAGTCATAGACTAAGCGTCAGAGTAGCAGGCAACATTTTGTTACTCAAAGCTTTCTATTGTACCAAGGAGATAATAACATGTTATTTCAATCCACTTCAAAAACAACTACTTAAAGCAAATTTCAAAAACAACACTTTGTGCCATTTGTAGAATTTTTACGGAATCAGGCGATCAAGAAAAACAGTATATAATTTACAGATTTAGAGCTAAACGCCCTTTAAAACTGGTTGGTAGCAACGAAAATATTACCTACACAATCAGTAATTGTGTCAACGCTACCGATATATTGCTATTCTTCCATTATTCGTAGTTTACAAATCAAAAAAATCTGAAAAAAGACTGGTATGTATGGAGACCACCAAACAACCAATTTACAACATCCCTGTTGGGTTGGATGGATAAGAAACAGTTTGTTTAATGGCTCACTAATTAACTCACGGTAAGTAGTTTTGTCTACTTAATTTGAGTAGTTAATAAACTAATCAAATAATTTTTTCAAATACAAGTACTCGCATTTTAGTCATATTCGAACGCGACACATATGTTATTTACAATGTTACATGTATTTACATTGACAGTAACATCAGGCTGATATATTTACCAGTTCATTCGTTCAACAGGTAGACGTAGGTGTATATTGTCACTTTAAAAGAGTTTGGTACCAATTACTTACAGAATTGTTACACCATTACATTTCAACAACATAACAAAATAAAGTTTAATTCAACATCAAGCAAAACCTTTTGGTTCTGATGACGCATTTACACAAACACCAATAACACTGGTTTGTTTCTTCTTATAATTAGCAAACTTGATTGATCAAAATTAAAAACTGCTCAAATATTTTATTTACCTTCTCAGCCTGCTTCATCATCCTCATTCCAGCTTATATCATCATTTAACGGTCAGCATCAAACTTCAACGATTCGTCAACTTCAAAATTTTGTTTTCTTTATAAAAATTGATTTTTTTCTTTGAAATTTTTAGAATATTTTTTATCAATTTTTATATATTTATACCATGTGAAAATTTTTCTATAAACAAAAAAAAAAAAAAAATTAAAAAACATAAATTAATTTTTCTTTGAAAAACTATTAAATTTAAAGCTTAAACCGTTTAAATTTACCCCAGTTTATTCTACGTCAAAATAAATAATAATTCATTTTACTAGCAAATATATATACAATACATATTAAATAAAAGCGCGGTTAAATTTTTATTTGTTGATAAAAATCTTAAGCATTTATTTTACAGTTTCTTTTATAAAAATATACATTTCACCTTCTATACTATCTTATATGTAAAAACGTTCAATTAGCCGCAAAAAAATATTTAAAATGTTTAGTAAAAAAGTGTAATCAATACCTTTTGAATGATATCTTTTTTATAATGCCATTGCAACGATCCGCTCAACTTTTTGTAGTTCATATTATATTTCTGTTTTCATTTGTATTTTCTTGCAAAAACTTATCAGTTTTTTATTTTGAATTAGCCGTCTATTTCGTCTGAACATTCAATTATCAATGTAAACGAATCATCTATTAACAGTTCAAGTAAAAACTCCCGTTAATGAACCAAATACTTTGCTAGGCATAATTAAAACTAGGTTGTTTTAAATGAAGATGGTGAGGAGTCAATATTACTTTTTTGCTTGTCGATAGTTCAGTGTTTGACTTAACACTTGCACAAACAACACATAAAATAGTTTAGATCAAAAAGTTTTATTTAAGTAATTTTGTTGAACGGGCGCTTAGACAAACATGAGCGTTTTCCACTAAAAAATTAAAACAAAATTAAAGTTAGATTGAGTTCAATAAATTTTTCTAAATCTTATTTAAAAAAAAAAAATTTTTTTTGTAATTAGAATCAAAATAAAAATTTAAAATTTAAACTGCGTTTTTTCTAATTAAAAAAGTGCAGGTTGTGAAAAATACAGTCTGAATTAATTTTACACGTATGGGTACATTCTTGGTTTCTCTATAGAGGGCCGTCCTAAGAGAGAGACGTATGGGGGTCTTACCCCTCTACGAAAATATTAGTTAGAAAATAGGACATTAGAGTCAACAAACCTGGATCCATAGTTGGCAGGGGGAAAATGCTGGTCACAGGGGGAAAATGCTGGTCACAGATACGTCACTCTCTCTCCCCTCCCCCTCCACATTAAAATCTCCTCTGGACGGCCCTGTCGCTATTTGTATACAATCAATTCTATGTTTTGGGCAAGTATATATCTTATGTGTACACATATATACACGAGTATACGTATATATACACATATATACGTATATATACAAATATATACACATATATACACATGTATACGTATGCATAAACGTATAAACACACTTAGACACGTACATGAACAGCTTTGATGTAAAGTTGTGACAAAGTGTTGTCATTTATTTTCTTTTTATTTATACTAAATTGCACCTTTAAAGTTACAGGATACTTTTGCTTGGTTAAAGAAACAAGGGTAGATATAGTGAGGAGGTATCTTTAGAATACAGACTTTGTACTCCAAAACCTATACTAGTTATCTATGTTTTAAATTTTTCGACTTTTAGTTAGATAATTGGACCTGCTACTTTCTCTTACTCAAATAAGTACTTTACCATGCTACGTAAAGATTTTAGTCAAATAATAGAAACTTATTTTTATTACAAATAAATTCACACAAAATTAAAAGACATGTTAAGTCACAAGCAGTTTCTAAAATAACAATAAAAACACTTGCGCTTTTTTTAGAATTAGGTCATCTAGTTTCGAAAACATACTTATTTGAAAAAACGGCTGAATAAAAACCTACTATGGCTTAATAAAATTACACAATAACTTTTTTTTCGATTTTTTCTTAAAATCCGCACATACAAACTAGTTTTAAATTTCGAATATCATGAGGGGTAACTGAAAATTTATTTGTTAAATAGTAAAAATTAAAACTACTCCAATACCTTACAATATATACGTCACCACTGTGTGCCTTAAAGACCGCCAGATTAAACTTTTCCAAACTTCTAATTTCATTTCATATAATAATGAATACTACTTAAATAAGTTTTTTTGTTGTATAAAAGAAGTCTAAAGTAGATCAGAAAATTTTTTTTGTTTATCTATTTACCCCCCAAAAGTGACTAAGTTACCCTCTTTTATGTTTTTAAAAACCCTTTGAAAAAAACAACTTTTATATTATTATCTTGTTATTCTCCTTAAAGTAATAATTACACCTCTTACAATTCTAAACTTAAAGTGATTCAAGTTTTTAATGCACCATAGTCCCTTACAGTAATAATTTGGGAAAAACAATAAATGCAACAAAAACATTAATACAACTACTTATATATTATAATCTTATTCACACAAAAAGCTGAGGATTTCAATCATTTAACATAATCTGTATGCCCAATCCATCCCTTATATTGCGACCAACTTTGTTTAAAGGCGCTGTAAACAGTCTCTTCTGTTTATTCAGCAGTATTAAAAAATAACTTTTACTAATAATCCAGAGAACCTTATGTTCTTGGAGTACCACTTTCTAGGGAATATTTACTTACACACCACTAACAGGCATTTTTACCAGAATTAGGTGAAAAACTCAAGACGCTGTTAGCATATTTTAAATCAAATGCAAAATGATATGCAACATCATATATGTTTAGTTTACTTAGGAGGTAATGTAGATTTCCGTTGTTTTCAGAAACATATTTAACAGTAGCAAGAAAAAAACACTTCTACTGTCAATGTATATTTAATTTTGTCTTATCAAAGTTATTTACAATTACATTCAGAAATCTTTGACCTCCATGTACCATACTGAAGTGAAGATTCAAGCATATTTCCATTTTAATACTAAAAATAAGTTCAAAAGTTCATGAATAAATACTATATACCTTCTTACAGTTTAACTGTTCCAAAAATTTATCTTGTTCTATTTTATATTTAGATTTGAATTGTTGTTGTAATGATGTCATCATGCTAACTACATTGTTCTGGACAATAGTAGACAATTGCAGGTTTTTTCAGACTTGATATTATTTTTTCTGCTTGCAAATATGTTAATTCCAGTACAGAAGTTAATACCAGCACTGTTTGGAATGATATCTGATTGAAAAATTTTTTTTAATCTAATATCTTTAGTTCTAACAGTTAAAATTAACAAATTACCTTAAAAATAAAATATATTCAAACTACCTATATTTTTTACCCTTAACTTAAAGTTACAATTGAAATGTTTAAGTAAATGTATATACCTGTAAATATTTTAAAAGGCTGGTCTTCTCGCTCCATTTTGTTTTTATTTATGCCTGAAACAACTTGCTAACATGATGTGGGATTATTAAATTATTTACGTGTAAAACAGCCTTACTAGAACAACAGTTGTTATAACACCCTGAATAACAGATTTAACTCTTAAATTAATATACACTTATTCAACTTTCAAAATAGTTATTTTTATTTATAAATAAATATTTAACAACTTTTAATTTACTTATAAAATAATTTTATATTAATCATAAACAACTTGTCAAGAGTGAAAAGCAGCAACTGCACATATTGTCCTTCATTCGATATGTTGTGTCTTAAAATAAGATTATTGAAAAATATTACTGAACTCAATTCTCGTCTAAGTCTTTGCCTGCCAACCTAATTCAAAAATATATAATTTATAAAAAAATGTATATTTTTTTTCATATATGTATTACATATCTAACTTAAATAAATTATGAATTATATACTTGAGAAACTTAACTCATCCAGTTTGACAGATAAATGCTTCAGGTGAGTCGTATTTTATGTACGTAAACCAAAAAAGCGAAAACGCAACTAAGTACGGTTAACTCGTAATTTATATATGTACGTTAACTAATTAAGTAATATTGTGTATTAGAAAGTAAATAATAAGTTCTTTTGTTTTATAAGTATTATAAAAAAAAAGAGTTTGCATAAATTAATAAATTAATAAATAAGAATTAACTTTGTAAAATGTTAAATTAGAAACATAAAACCTAAAGTTTAAGATGAGTTTATCAAAATAATACTATTTATACTTTTACATTTCACTTTTATCTCGCTTTTTTAATTAAAAAATACCATTAACACGAGCATTTCGTTCTATTGAGACAAGAGTTACAACAACAACAACAAAAAATTGCTATAAAGCTTTAATTACATGCTCCATTTACAAGCTATTTACTTGAGTTTGATGGGAGAAATTCAGTCTCAAACAAAAATGTTATTTTGAATGATTTCGTTAAACTTTTTAAATCAATTTATCAGGTTGAAAAACGTCTATAAGAAAAGATAAATGTTTAAAAATATTCTTTAAAAACGGTTTATTATTATTGTACATATCAAAACATTTTTCTTTTGCTTTTCATGATGATGCACAAATATGCAAAGATAATTTGCTAAACGCTTTTTAATTTTAATTATTTTTAGTTGCGTTTTTTTTTTTTTTTTTTGTTTTTTTGTTTACGTACATTACGACTTAAGCTAAAGATTAAAAATTAAAAAGCGTTTAACAAATTATTATTGCATAATTGAGCAACATCAGGATAAGAAAAAAAAAATGTTTCGATATGTCTAATAATAAAAAACCGTTTTAAAAAAACATTTTAAAACTTTTATCTTTTCTTTTTAATATATTCAAATCTAATAAATTGATTTGAAAAGTTTAACGAAATCATTACAAATTACATTTTTCTTTGTGATTGAATTTCTCCCAACAAACTCATGTAAATAGCTTGTAAATGAAGCTTGCAATTAAAGCCTAGTAGCACTTTGTTTCCTTTTCTTCTAACTTTTGTCTCAATAGAACGAAATTCTCGTGGTAATGGTAAGAAAGCGCGATAAAAATGAAGTGTAAAAGTGAAAATTAATATTTTTTTGATAACTCATTTTAAATTTATTATTTACTTTTAATACTCAATACGCGAGTTGCGTTTTTTACTTAATTAGTTTACGCACATTAAATACGCGTCAGCTAAATGCTTGATCCTTTCTCCAATGATCAAACTTGTGGGATTTTATTGGACGAAAAATGAAGCCGCTTTTTTGTTGTTTATAACAATTGTCTGCCATTTGTAAAAAGGGCAAAAGCTGAAGCCGAAGTGTGGAATAAAAGTCAAAAACGCAAGTCAAAAGTTCCTAATAAATTAAAGATAATTCAAAAACAAATTTTAATAATTAATAAAATTTTAATAAATTAAATAAATAATAAAAAAACTAATACAAGTTTTTTTATGAGCCTATGCTTAAAAAAAAAGTTTTTTAATTCATAAAAAATGCTTCAAAAGCGTTTGTCGTTTTACTTTTCAATTTACCCAGCCGGCACAACTCAGAAAATAGTTACGCTTGGTTTCTGTTGCGTTTTTAAAACCTTCTAAAACAAAAAGAATAACACTTACCCTAAATGGTTTTTATTCCGTGAAATTAACTATTACTATTTACCATAAATACCAGTTAAAGTATTAATGGTTTCACCGTTATGGAAACGTAGTATTATATTTTAATAACTTTCCTAAAGGAATGTGAAACCACTGATAAAAATATGCGACATTTAAATTTGACTTTAAAACCTCAAAAAACACGTATTAAACTCTAGTAAAACTGCCCGTAATACACGTGCTTTTGGTTTACGCCTGGATCGTGAAAAACACGTGCCTATATAGGTTTTATTTCCGAAAAAGAAACTAGATGTGCCGATAGGGTAAAACTTTATTCCCTTTATAATCGAAAACAAATAAGGAATCATAAATTATTATTTTTACAAGTATTATACTTTCCTATCAACACTCTTATGTAAAAAGTATTTAAATTTTAAATATATTTACTTCATTTAAGAAAAGAAAAGTTAAAAGTATTTGCTTACATATTTAATCCGCCATTTGTAAAAAGGGCAAAAAGCGACTTCACATTTCGAATCGAAGTTAGACAACTATTTATATAATATTTCATTGTCCGTTCTCTAACAAAAAAAAAAAAAAAACTTTTTTTATTCAGACATATTTATCGCTCCGTGTCATTTTCTCTAATATTATATTATAAAAGAAGTTATCGAAGGTAGATTCTATTGTTTTTATTACTGAATTTTTAAACTTTTTTACAACTTAAAGTTCTAAATCTTCTGATCGACTTCGGATTTGTATTTCACTTGAAAAATACTTATAGAAACTATATTTGATTTATAAAAAAACTTGAGTTGCTGAGCTTTTTTTATAAATCAAATATAGTTTCTATAAGTATTTTTCAAGTGAAATACAAATCCGAAGTCGATCAGAAGATTTAGAACTTTAAGTTGTAAAAAAGTTTTAACCTGGGGGTCTTTATGGCCCACTATACAATGTGGGGTGATCACCCCACGCATAATTTTAATAATACTATAATAGAGAATGATGATAACAAGAGAATTTAAAATGATAATGGAATTTTAACGTCACAAATGAGTTTGCTAAAATATGTTAATTTTTAAAAGACGGTTAATCTTTTTTTTTTCAACGAGCCTATTAAGTTATAATTAAAACGCATTCAAATTCAATAAAACAACATTCTTAAGACATAATCACTTATCATTTTTAAAAAAAAAAAAAAAAAGACTATTAGTAGAAGCAATCATTTAAATTAAATACAACAGGATGCGATACAAAAGGAGTAGTTTTCAAAGTACAAAGTTTGTACCTCAAAGATACCTTTCTAATTTATCTATCCTTATTTCTTATTAATGCTTTTAGCGTTTCATAGGTAGGTTTCTGGACCACATACAAAGATGCAGATGAGAATTTACATAAGTATGATCACTAATCAGAAGTTAAAAAACTTTTTTCAGTAGCCTGTTATTTGAAATTTTCTTTTTTAAGTTCTGATTCTAAATTCTTTTAGAAAAAAACCAAGACATGAAGCTACTAGTAATACTTTTCTTGACTTAATTTGTAAACAGATCCTTAAAGTTCAATTGAAAAAAATGTAAAACAATTAAAAACAAAAAAGTTCAAAATATATTTATTAAAAAATTTTTAAAAAAACTTAAAAAACTAATTTAGTTCCATTAGTTAATAATGTCAGTGAAACCGAGATTTTCAACTTGTACCTTGATGTTTGGCTTATTCACAAGATTTTTTTTGGTGCAGCATAAATAAATAAGGTTAAAAAAAAAACCAAGAGTGGAACAGAAAAGGTTATATTGTAAGGTTAGAAATATTTATTTAATCTCCACCTTTTTTAAGAAGTTAAGTTATTAATTGTAATATTTACCTCAGAATACTGTTTTGTCTACTAAATAGAAACTATAGAAAGTTATATGAGAAGTCGCCAAAATAAATATTGTTAATCAAATTAAATTTATATCGTATCAGGTCCCATATATTAATTAAAAATAGGCGGAATTTATTTAAGTTACCCTGTGACACTAAAAAAGTTTTGTCTAAATTATTCTTTTTCTGGCCAACTGGCTGCGAATCTATTAAACTAACTACAACGTACACTATATCATGACGTTAATTCCCTTGCGTCTTAGAAAACGCAGTTCACAGCAAGCGCTGTCGACTCGCTTAAAAACATGGAATTTGTTCACAAAGGATTATGCCCTACCGGCACATCTAGTTTCTTTTTCGAAAATAAAACCTATATAGGCACGTGTTTTTCACGATCCAGGCGTAAACCAAAAGCACGTGTATATTACGGGCAGTTTTACTAAAGTTTAACACGTGTTTTTTGAGGTTTTAAAGTCAAATTTAAATGTCGCATGTTTTTATCAGTGGTTTCACATTCGTTACGGAAAGTTATTACAATATAATACAACGTTTCCATAACAATGAAACCATTAATACTTTAACTGGTATTTATGGTAAATAGTAACAGTTAATTTCACGGAATAAAAACTATTTATGATACGTGTTATTCTTTTTGTTTTAGAAGGTTTTAAAAACGCAACAGAAACCAAGCGTAACTATTTTCTGAGTTGTGCCGGCTGGGTGGGACGCCCTGGTCGTATAACTTTTAAATTTAATAAACAAGTTATTTTCAATATCCAAATGCTGTCAGTAATTGATTGCTCTAAATTTATTTTGTAAACTATTTATAGAATTAGTCTTCTTTTTTTATACTATTTCAACATTATTTTTAAAAATTCCCGATTAGAATTATAGGTTTCTGATTTAATATTTTTTAAAAGAGCAGCAATATTACAGTGTAATATTAAATATATCATGTCCTAATAAAGCTTATCGGGTCATAATATTAATCTAATTTGAAAATCTTTAAATGAAACTTGATAAAATAATTTGTTATGTAATAATTACATAGCAAATTATCATAATCATTATTAAAGCTTAAACACACACATACAAATATGTATGCATATATATATATATATATATATATATATATATATATATATATATATATATATATATATATATATATATATATATATATATATATATATATATATATATATATATATATTTAAACAATTTAAAATGTATTCTACAAAAAGAGTGCTCAATGCTCTTAAAAGAACAGAGCAATTACAAATTAGTAGAAAATCACTTAGCAAAATTTTTTCTAATTTAACACCGTGTTTCATCAAAAAAAGTCTTAATTGATGAAACACAGTGTTAAATGAGATAAAATTTTGCTAAGTGATTTTCTACTAATTTGTAATTTATATATATATATATATATATATATATATATATATATATATATACATCTCCCAGTTAACCATTCCAACTGGGTCCCAACTGGGGAAAATGATAGGACCCATCTTGATATTCCACAATGGTCCCATTGTGATTCTGTCAGTGGGATCTAACTGGGTCCCATCTGGGATTATTCTGGGTTCTTGACAAGAAATTTCATATTGAACCCAGATATTTTTTTCATTTACAGCGGGTTTTCTCAATATTATATAGTTGTTTTTTGCAGATTTTTTTCTTTTTAATCAAATAATTTGACATATTTCGCAGATCTCAAATCTGCGAAATAATGTGACCATTTTTTGATTAAAAAACGTCGCATTTTTTATATAAAATTAAAAAGTAAAGGTTATTTATATTATTTATATTAAATTCGCTGTAACGGTAACAAAATGTAAAAGGAAAATATTTGGTCTGATATAATTCTTACGAATCAATTAAAAAAACAGATTTGAATTTCATAATATTTTTAAGCGACAAAAAACTAATATTATACAATGATTTGATGCAAAACTGT